GACAGGTGGATTGCCGCTGCTGTCACCACCGTCGAGCTAGGTGGGCGTGGCTTCAGCAACCAGCTCCCGCCTCTTTGCCCATTTTCGATTATTTTGATTGGTTTTCAACATGCATTTTTCCCTGCCTGTTGAAAAATGCCAAGATGGCGACGGCCGCCTCCGCCCACTTTGAGCTTCACAAACGCTCTTTGGAAACCTACGGGTGACATCACGGACACTACGTCCATGTTTTTATACAGTCTATGTTTCTGTTAAATTAAATATCTCCTTTTGAAGTGGACTTTGAGCTTTGTAACTTTGCAGATCTTTTTTATGCTCAAACAGCAACATTACAGACCAACTAAAGTTGAAAAAGTGAAAAAGCATAATAGGACCCCTTTAACACTACAAACACCAGTCACAAGTCAGAATAGAAACAAGTAAACAAAACTAGTGGAGGAACACATCAGGATTGCTTAGGGACAAAATGGATAGTGCAATGAATTCACTGCAGATTTTTCAATTGGTTGGATAATACCAAGGCACATGGAACCAGACAAAAAAAATTCATGCATATGAAAATGTTCATATCACCTAAAATAATTCTTGGTCCAAATAACTGAAAGATTCATTTTGCGGTTTCTAATAGGTGGAAGGAGTGGCGCCCTGGTTTCCCCATGAGCATCGATGCCAATTCAAGCACTGAACTTCCTTTGGATATTCAGTTTGAAGCTGCAAAATCTGTGGACTTCTCTTTGAATTACATTACAGCGTAGGTTGTGTTCATACCTTTGCATGTATCTCCAACAAGTATGCATGTTACAGATTTCCTGTGACACAGTTTGACTATAGCTAGGAAATATCTCAAAATAAATGGAGAAACAAGCGTACCTTAAATTGCTCACAATCAGATTTTTAGTGTCTGGTTCATTCAGCTGTATTTTTTCATGATCTTCTCTTTCAGGATTAGGAATCTTGGACTTAATAAATTTTTGAAGTTGTCCTCTTGGAAAGATATTGCAGATTTTGAAAAAATATTTGTGAAAATCAAGAACACCGTGTCAGGTTTGAACGTGTCAGGTTGGTTCTTTTCTTTTATTTACTTCTCTCTAATACTAAAACAATCTGTCCACTGACCGAGTATAAATTATTGTGAGAATGCAAACATTAACAGGCTAAGGCACACATCGTTTGCATACTCCTAAACTCACTGGCAGCTGACTTTATTATACCCTTTGACAGAGTATGTGATGCAGAACTGGAATAAGGACTACTTTTTTGGCTATCAGTTTTTGAATGGCTGCAATCCTGTGGTGATCAAGAAGTGCATGAATCTTCCAGACAAGTTTGCAGTCACACAGGAGATGGTGGAGGGTTCCCTGGATAGAGGTCTCACACTTCAAGAAGAATTAAAGGTCAGAAAAAATGACACCACACTAATAAAAATAAAATACTTTTATACAGCACTTATCAGGGTACTCGGAGACACTTTACATGAATTAGAAATATTCATAAAAAACAGTACAAAAAAGCTTGTAGTACACAACGTAATCCCAAATTAAAATCAGTCCAAAAAATATGCATTTTGAGTGAAGTTTTAAACATGGACAGAGTTCGAGAGGGAGGGAGGGGTATAGAAAATTTGGAGTTCATTTTGGATTTTGGATGATGTGCCAAAAAGAAAGCTGTCGCAGTGGTAAATTCTGGATGTGAATGAATTATATAGAATAGAATAAAAATTATCCAGTGTCACTCTATGGCTCCAATACTAAATACCTCTCTGTTACAGGCAGGAAACATCTACATAGCAGACTATGCAATACTGGAGGGAGTGCAAGCCAATGCCACAGACCCAGATACCAAGCAGTATTTGGCTGCTCCCTTCTGCCTGCTGTACAAGAACAGCCAGAATGAAATCCTACCAATTGCTATTCAGGTGCCTGTAGAAATAATTTTGTAAAACATTACTTAAAAATAAAAAGTTGGTGCTTTAACTAAATGTTAGAGTTTTTAGCAAATACTCAGTTTTGGCTTACTTTGATGTGTGAAACAGCTCAGTCGTCAGACCACCGCAGGGGTGGGGAACACAGTCTTTCTCCCAAGTGATAATCAGTACGACTGGATGCTAGCCAAGATGTGGGTGAAATCCGCTGACTTCAGTGTACACCAGCTGGTCACACACCTTCTCAGGACACATCTGATATCTGAGGTTTTTGCCATAGCCATGTATAGACAGCTCGCTGCAGTCCATCCTGTATTCAAGGTAGCCATCCTTTAATGCTTTCATTGCTGTGAGATTTAAGGATAGATTTACTAACACCTCGCACCAGCGCAAACCCTCTTTTGACGTTAAAAAAAGTACTGTCAGGGTTTACCAAAGACATGCATTAGTGACAAAAAGGCAAGGATGCATTTAATTTGGCGACTACCCTTATTATGCATGCATTTGTAGGAGTTTTTATTTCAGACACAATTTATGGGAGGCGAGTTTTAAATGAATCGCGCAACATGATTTACTAAGTTTGTGAAAGTCCGTTTACTGGAATGCACCATTATTTAATGTCCAGAGAAAGCATGGATTAGTTCACTTTCAGAATAAAAATGTCCCTATAATTTACAAGATGTTCACGTCTTTCTTCGGTCATAAAGAAATTAAGGTTTTTGAAGAAAACGTATCAGGATTTTTCTCCGTATAGAGGACTTCAATGGTGCTCAATGGATTAAAGGTTAAAAATGCAGTTTCAATGCAGCTCTACACGATCACAGCCGAAATTCCAAAACAAATGAAATTCATATACTTTTTAACCCTAAATGCTCATCTTGCTGTAACTCTGCTTGCGCATTACTTACTTCGCACATTACGCAATCATGTTGGAAACGTCACATTCGATTAAAGGGATACTCCACCCCAAAATGGAAATTTTGTTGTTAATCACTTACCCCCATGTCGTTCCAAACCCATAGAAGCTTCGTTCGTCTTCGGAACACAATTTAAGATATTTTGGATGAAAACCGGGAGGCTTGTGACTGTCCCATTGACTGCCAAGTAAATTACACTGTCACGGTCCAGAAAAGTATGAAAAGCATCGTCAGAATAGTCCATCTGCCATCAGTGGTTCAACCGTTCAGTGTAAACAGCAGTGAATTCTCTAGGAAGGTAAAACGGTCTACATTTCAACAGCATGAATTCCCCGTCAGGGTTACAGAGTCTTATCGACTACAGTGGTGTTAGTGCACCAGGAATTGTTGATGTAAATGCACAGTCCTCCACCGGTTTTCTTACCCGAGTCTGCAGTCCTATCGGCTCGGTACGACCTGCTAGCTCAATAGCCTCATCCGGAGTGGTGCTGTCCAGCCACTTTCGGTGAAATCATGCTGCAACAGTTGTATATGGTCCTCTGGGTCACCAGCTGTAGATGTAGTTTATCTATCTTATTGCGGATCAACCGTGCATTAAAGAGGAAGATGGAAGGAAGTGGGGGCTTGGACGAGTTAGCCTTTAGCCTGGCCCACACACCCGCACGCTTTCCTCTCTTCTGTCTCCGCTCACAGCGTCTCCTCCTCAGTCTCACTTCAGCAAGAGCTCCCGGTGGTGGTCTTAAGAGCTCCGGAGGAATAAATGTCTCCGCTGGTAGATAATGTATTCCAGAATTTAGTTCTAAAAGTTTGTCATGGCTGTACAGAAGTTCTCGATAATTGCACCACCAACAACATGCAAAAACTATGCCAATTGTAGGAGCTCAAAGCTGCTGCGACTGTGCGCGCCGCCATCTTGCTCGATTAGTGTTATAATTGGTAGTAAGTCTTATTGATACTTAATAAACATTGTTGTCCTTTGTCATTGCTCTTGCTATAAAAGCAAAAAGGCAGGGTGTTACAGTGATTTTGGCACAAAGCCCCTTACCTGTGGTACAAACACTGAATCAAGTTGTAACGATTGGCCTTATTGGCCCAATTGTAAAAATGGGGTCAGATCAAAACTGTGAAGTTAGGGGTGTTTGAAAAGATGTACAACAGTTATAAAGTGAATAAATGAATTGTACTTACAATTTCCACATGGAAAACCTAGGCTGTTAAAAGCAAAGGGTTCTTCAGTTCCATACCATAAATCAGTCCTTACAAATCCTGGCGTGCTCCAAGTGTCCACTGGTGTATATACAAAGCCAAAAGAAGAGATAATCCAGTGAAGCTGGGAAAAGTCCTTAAAAGTGACTCCACGGTCCAGCTAGTCATGATCACCAGTTTGTGACCGCCATTTTGTTTGCCATGCTACTTCCTTTATGGAATCTATTTGCTGTCAGAACCCAAGACCGTTTAAAGACCTACACACATAAAATAGATAAGAGGAATAAAATGGCTAAGAACACAGTAATACCTAATAAAACTTCAATATATATTAAACCACAATGATATATTGAGCAGGTAGAACATGTGTCTTGTGTGACAGTGTCACATAGTGGCCTAGAGTGGTTTATTGTTTTATTGAAGGCCAGTGTTTTGCTGACAGTCTTTTTAAAAAATGCTTCATTTTCTCCTTACAGTTGCTGATACCTCATGTCCGTTTCACCATTGCCATCAACACTGCAGCTCGTGAAAAACTCATCTGTAAATCCGGGCTCTTTGATAAGGTATCTTTAACCCTTCATAAACAGTGCCTTATAAGGGACCACAACTTTTGCATTCATGTTTATCTCTGATGTCTCTGCTTCGTTCACATGACTTTAAGGTCTGAAGATGCAAATAGTTTTAAGCTGTCTTTATTAAAGCTTGGCTGTCCGTATGGACATTTTTTTTTTCTTTGATAAATAAAAGTTCAAAAGAACAGCATTTATTCGAAACAGTCTCACACACACTTTTGATCAATTTAATGCATCCTTCTTAAAATATAAGAATTAATTTCTTTAAAGAAAAAAAAACTCTTACTGACCCCAAACTTTTGAAAAGTAGTGTACTTTACGCTGTCAATGTGTACAATGAACTTCAACCTAAAATGACAATTACGTTCTTAGTGACAGTTGACATTTGACCTTTCTTGTAGATCAGTGGCCGGAATCCAGAGGAGAAAGAAAGTGAAAACCTTATCAAGAAACGTCTTCGCACTAGAATTGTGAAATAAGCTGAAGGGAAATGTATTTTTATTCTGTATTTTTTATGTTTTTTTTGGTTTTTTTTTTTTTTTTTTAATATATAATTTTGGCTGTGTTAATGCCAACTGCATACATTTGGACACAAGTGCATATTTGTATTAGAATTGTAATATTTTACCTGTATTTACTTTATTTTTCTATATTATTTATTTTACACTAGGTACACAAAATAGCTACAATCAGGACCAATGAAACCCATTAAAACAGCAATTTTTAATCCCAGGGCCATTGAACAATTAAAATGATGCAGTCTTTATTAATAGGCTTTCATTCTATTGGCAAGGCTTCAAAATTAATTTTTTTTTAACAATTATTTACTAAATGTTTTACTAGAAAGTAAATACTCACATTTTTTACTTTAGCACTAGATTTAGCAACTTTCAGACCCTTTTAGCGGCTTTTTTCCATAGAACAGTGACTCCTGTGACTCCTGGTTAACATGTATTAAAAGGGGTTGTGTTTAGTCACTATTTAGTGTGGTATTTTTTGACGGTATTCACTCATCATGACAGTAAAATAGGGCATTCTAAGTCAATATACTGCAGTATTTCCTCTCTCAATCAGTA